TTGCTTTTGTCCTCAGGTTAAGGGGAACTTCATAATGCTGTTATTTATTAAAGTTTAAAACAGGAGAGGGCTGGGGATGTGGCTCAGTGGTAGAGTTCTATTCTTGTATGCACAAGGCCCTGCGTTGCACAAAAAGAGATGCAACTAAAATGGAAGGAATGTCATTGCCAAACTAACAGTATTTTGAAGATGTCTTCTTTCAGAATCTCTCAGTCAAACCTGTTTCCCAAGCACACCGTTCCTCTTTGTAATTAATATCACAGCTCAGGTCCAAAGTGCTCCTGGCTGCTATGGTAACGTGAAGCCTGATGATTGCACTGGGTGATTTACACACAGTGGCAGCTGGAGATTTTTCTAAAAATAAAATTACAATCAAATTTCTTTGAGGAAAAATCTGTTTTGAGAATTACATTGGGAAAAAAATTTAAAAACTGAAACAGAGAGTTAAGCACATCTATTCTTCAACATGCACAGAGACCATCAAGCCAACCACTGGTTTTTGTTGGAGGCTCCTCCTAAAGCAGGTGATTTATGGACAGTTCCATACTATGAAGAGTGAGACTAAAAAGCTCAGGAATAGGCAGGTGCTATTTTTAAAAATGAAATGATTATAACCTCACTTGCTGCTTCCAAACCTGGTGGCTTATTTCGTGAATATTATTTCTCTTCTTCACTGACATTTGTCATTATCTAAAGGGCATTTAGAATGAAGCAGAAGTAAACACTTCCCTGTCGACAAATTTTAGTTGACAGATCTCCTTTCTCCACAATGGGGAAATTTGATCTTTGCAAACCTGAGGAGATACAGGATTTAATTTTTGCCTGACTAGGTTTTGAACATTCACTTTGTAATCTCTGACTTCATCTCTCTACACCATCACAACAAAGCCACTGCTTTCCCCCAAGGCAGGAAGAGTTCCTATTCTAAAGTTCTGCCCCACAGGCTTTCTGGGCCTGATGTTGTCTTTGATCTTGGGTGATGTCAATCTTTACATCCACCCAGCAGGATCACCTAGCAGCTCCCTAAGGGAGCAGTGTTGCAGCCATGAGTGGCTTGACAAAGAGGGTACTGACCTTAGGGCCACTGTACTATGAGAATGGAGGGACAATTTCATGGCTCCACTGTGACTAAATGTTTTCTAAATGATACACCGAAAGCCATGCACCTGACTGAATGTTTCTGGCTCCCAGGGTTCTTAAACAACATCAAGTTCTTCAACTCTCTGGGTGGGAACACTCTGCAGTCTTTCCTAGAGATAAATATGGTGGCTGCCTTTTACATTTGTCCTGTTAGTGAATATCCCTTCCTTTGTGGAAATTTTGGGCAAGATCACATGAAAGCAATGAGCCTCTCATTCATATTCAGGGATGAGACGAGAAGAGGTGAATAGCTCAGCACGTGGTCAGGCCATCTGGGGAGCAGGGCCTACTGGGGAAGCAGTGGAACTGGGGAAGATGTGGACACCATGCAGGACTTTGGACTTGGGAAAGGATTGTCCCACCCCTTCCAGATGCAACAGTGAGATGAGCCTCTAGGACACCTGCCACCGGAGAGGGGCCAGTCTCCCTTGTGGAACGGCACCAGGGGAACTGAGAAAGCAGGAATGCACAGGGTGGCCAGGAAGGAGAGGAGGACCACGTGTTACTTGCTTTCTTCAGGCCCAGAACCTGTTCCTTGATTTGTCAGATTGCTCCTCACAATGATGGGGTGCTTTCATACCACAAAGCCCTGACCACAGGGGCAAGGACCAGCCAGGGTCTTCCCCCCTCAGACCTTGAGTCCTGACCACCGGTACATGGGACAAAAGGTGGCTGAAGTTAAGGCCACCAACTGCGACATGGAAAGAGATCCATGAACAATTGCTGCTGCTGCTGCTGCGAACTCTAGGGCAGAAACAGCCCCGGGTCCTACCTCTCTCAATGCCGAGTGCTCCGCTGTTCCATTTGATTCTGTGAGAGGCCCAGACCCTGCTGCAGAACACTGCTGATTCATCCCACTGGCTGGGTAGCACATGGTGTAATACAAAACGGGCACTTAGCAAAGCATGAAAGAGGCACTGTGCCAAATTCTCCCAGGCATGTACATCTCATGTACCACTCATGACATTCTAAAGGGCTGATGACATGGTGTGGGGCTGTCACAGATGTCACCCCAACCTCAGCTGCTGCAGTTCTCTGCAAACCTGAGCACCTCAGGTTTGGGGTAAAAACTCTCAGAACTGGGCAGGAGTAACTGTCAGCTGTGAGACTTGCTTCACTGCTGGCTTTTCCTCCCACTGAAGCTGCCTGCCTACTGCCTCCACAGCACACCCCGTGGAACTCACTGCCCCCCTGGGTTGCTTTCTTCGTCCTTGCCATGTTGCCTAAGAGTTCCCAAATAAAATAACTTCACTCATATCTTTGTCCTTGTGTCTGCTTTTTGCAGAAAACAGACTAAATCAGAGGCTGCCGAGATGCTCTGAGACCCAGCTCAGAGCTCATCACATACTAAAGGGTTTGTACATGCTAGTGTGCCTCCTTTTTACAGAAGAGGGCATCAGGGAAGGAGCAGGAAACTTGCCCAAGGTCACTCACCTGGTAGATGTCATGTCTAGCATGGCCTTGGAGTTTATCCTGCATGACAACTCTGACCCATTGCCTGGACCAGGGCTCTGGGAAGTGGGCACTGTTGACATCTGGGGCTGATTCTTCGCTCTGGGCACTGTCATATGCATCCTGGTTGCTACGCATTTGGTGCCACCAGCATTGCACACCCCATTGTGACATCTGAGCAAACAGATCTCCCAATTTGCTGAATGTCCTCGGTAGGGAGAGATGGACTCCCCCAAGAGAGTCAGAAGAAGACAGCAAGGTGTGGTCCCAAAAGCACAGTGACCATTTGAGGTTGGGGCTGCAGGGGCAAAGCCCACCAAGGGACACCATAGAAACCGCTCTCCTGAGCAGTCTTCTGACCAGGCTGGCCTGCTTTCCAGGATGCCAGCCTCCCTGGATCAATTGTTCCACCTGGGCTGTGCTTGTTAGAAAGTTCTTTCCTACTGAGCCCGGCCTGCCTCGTGGGAACTGACTTCATCAGCGAGCCCTCCAGGGCCTGCAGAAGGCCTAATCCCTCTTTATGGGCTGGCACTTGATCTATTAGAAACAGCTCTTGTGTCCCACCTAGTCCCTCCCTGCTGCCCAGGCACGTGGAGACACACACTTAACAACAAACTCGGGCAAGTGCCCAGCCCTGCAGCGCCTCTGGGAAAGGCTGTTAGGCAGAGGAGTCACCCTTCTAGGCTCCTTCTCAACCTTTAGGACGAGCATTTCCAGGAGCCGAGCATCTCTAAGCTTCCAGGAATTCTGAGGCCACCAACTGTCCAGTATTTAGGAACCTCTGACCTCACTCATTCCAGCTCCAGGAAACAGAGCTGGCATTTATTTCTTAAAGCAGTGGTTTAAAAGATGGTTTTTATAGAAAATATGAAAAACAAGCTCTTAAAATAACAGGAGACCAGGTCAAAGATGTACATATTTCTGGGCAGACTTTTTCTTTTTGTCTTTTTCCTTTTTATCGGTACCAGGGATCGAACTCACGACTGCCTGCTTTCAAGGCAGGCGCTTATGCCGCTGAGCTTAAACCCCCAGCCCCTGTGCAGACTTTTTTCCCCAATAAAATAGCTTTTTAGTAAATGTGTACAAAAGTTAGAAATATAGAAATTGATACAAAGCATGTTAGGCTGTTTCTTAATAGTGGGATGAATTAATTTTTTTTCCTTTTCTTCATTTTAAAGCTTACACATGTGTATGCATATTCACATGCATTGCAGTCCATTTCGTAAAGTCAGACTGTAGTGACGACTGTGTTTTGACTTCTTCCTCAGGGCAGTGGTGGAAACGAGTGTCAGAAACCCAGGAGGCAGCCACAGAAGGGGCCTCCTGGGGAGGACGGCAGCAGAATGCCAGTGCTGGGAAAGGCCGGGTCCTTCCTGGACCAGGGAGCAGACCTGGGAGCTGCAGGGCTGCAGCACATCCATGGAATAAGGATCCTGAGGCTAAGGAAACTGACAGAGGGCACAAAAGAGAGTTGGGAGAGAAGTGGGTACTAAGGCCAAGTAAAAGAATAAAAGGAAAAATTGGACTTTCTATCTGCTCTGAATGTCTGTATTCACTCAGCTCACTGGTTAATATAAGTGAGAGGAATTCATTAATTTCCAAGGTTTTACTTTACATGCCACATATTCTATTTTAAGTTTTCTCAGCTTCATAAATAAGCAAGAGTTTCTTCTTTTCCTTTCCACTGTCCCTTATTTTAATCAAATAAATTACCATGGCTTACTTTTTTCTTGGAAGAGTCTTTCTGTTGTCCTATTCCTGCTCCTCCTGAACACCCCAGATGGGATTATTTTAAGCCTTTAATGGTGTCTCTTCTCCTTCCTCAAAAATGTTTTCCTTCCTCTCAGTGGAGGCCCATATTGTTTCTGGCAGCTGGGCTCAGGGTCCCAGACAGAAACCACAGCAGACGGGCAGCCCCACCCTTGAGCCACAGAAGTCTGGCTGATAGCACAAAGCTTGCAGGTCTCTGCAAAACTCCTCTTTCCCATAGAATCTACCTCTGAAATTACCATGGCAGCTGTATACACAAGCAAGTCTGTTCTGCTGGAGAGAGATTTCTGGATCTTTCAAGGGCAATGGACACATGTTGCAATGACTGTGTGTGTGTGTGTGTGTGTGTGTGTGCGAGAGAGAGAGAGAGAGAGAGAGAGAGAGAGAGACAGAGACAGAGACAGAGACAGAGACAGAGAGACAGAGAGAGAGAGACAGAGAGAGAGAGAGAGACAGAGAGAGAGAGAGAGAGAGAGAGAGAGAGAGAGAGAGACATCATCCTAGCAAAGTAATGTATCTGTGAGGGCTGGTGGGTAATGCTACCCTAAATAACTTGAACTTCCACTGGCTGGCTTTTGTTCATAAGAAGCTAATCCTCTCAGGTGTAGACCTATATAAAACATTGGCGGGTTAAACAGTTCACAGAAATCTCAAATCTCTTCTGCTCCATAAGGTAAAGATTCATTTAAACTAACAGTTCAAAAATGATTTTGAGGGTACTAGCAAGGAAAACTGTCCAATTCTTCATAATAAATACTAACATATGACACAGATACTATGATACATCCAACTAATAACCAAGTGTGTGACAGGGGCTCTTTTCTAGAGTTGCTTCTGGTGCATAGCTGTCTTTGGGAGGAATGGATTTCTCATGTTAACTACAGTGATGGGGAGGAGACACAAGGAAACGCATCACCTGGTATTGGATTGAAAACAGTCCACCTTTCTGTGCATGAGAACAGAGAAATGTCCTGAATTCAGTGCATAGCACCTCACAGGGAAGGAAGGAGGTCTGCACCCAGTGGTCTACTGCAGGTCTCCCCTGGGGCTCCAGGGACGAGGATGACAGTGTGGGAGAGGCTCTGCACTGATTTCTACCTCTGACCCCCACATCAGCTAGGTATCACCACGTACCTACATTTTTAGCATGGGCTGCACATGGCAGGCTGGGATTCTAACCAGGCCTTCACCACAGCGCTGAGGCATCTAGCTTGGGAGCCTCAACGTACTGTCCAATAACCAGCCCATTATTTTTCAGGCAGAAGCTGGCTTACTGGAGTCTCAGGACAGCTGGACAGGAGCAAGTAAGTATCTACAAGGGAGAACAAACCCTTGTGTGAAGCACAGGCTGACAGGTAGAGCATCTTGGCTGCTCTGGCGATTTGGGGTAAACATTTGATGATTTAGTGAGAGCTCACAAAAATGCTGCTTTACGTCCAGCAGTCTAGTTCCTATGGAATCCTGCTGTGTAGATGCAAGTGGTGACAGGCAGCAGTCTGCAGGTGTGGGAGGCGGCTGCAGGCACTGTGGGGGCAGAACTACAGCCTTGATATATGTGCCTGGGTAATCCCTGCCCAATGGCTGGGTTGGGGCTGGATTTTAGCAGAGCTGAGCAGATGGCAGTGGTCTGCCTGGGGTGGTGTCTCATTACCATCCTTGGTTGGATGAAATAAGGCAGTGGGGCAACCTGTGTGTGCATATAAGCCCAGGACTGTTACTACAGAGGAGGAAAACTACATTCTGTTAAAAGACCTGAGAAGTCCCTGTGACAGTGTGGAATTACGATACAGCGAGCACCAGGAGTCATTTCAGGGCAAACCAAGCCCAGGAAACTGAGGCTGAACCAAGCAGTCTTGTGCACACAGATGCGGGTCTGCAATCATCGTCCTGCTTTGCCTGCTGGCTGTCACTGGCCAGCGGCATCTGCAGGCTTTTAGTCTCTCCTCGGAGACAGGCTGTAGTGACAATGGCCCCTTTATGGTGGTAGTGAGGCATACAGGGCACACACAGAGCACTAGACCTGCGCTAGCACCAATACACGGTCTGGGGCCAGGCGTTATGGTAAGTCAGGTCCGCGGCATGAATCAGGGTTTTCCCACACTTCTACACTCACCTTTGCTCTGTTTCTCGCCATCACCTCAGGATCCAGGCAGCTACCGCTGTCTCTTTCCGCTAATGAGGAATGGGCTGAGGGGACGAGGTTGGCAAGTGCAAAGCGTTGGGGAGCCAGACAGGGCTATTGGCTCTCAGCTCGGGCTTTCTACTCTCCTCCAACTCAGCCTTGGGTGAAAGGCGAGCAGGCTTCTGTCCGCTGCAGCCCCAGCTGCTCATCTGCCATGTCATTAACCCATAATCTACAACCGCCCTGGTCTGTCTGCAGTGGTGGATACATTTCCTTCCTGAAATACGGCTCCGAAAGTTATTAGAGATACATTTCGGACCTCTGGAACTCAGTGATGTGCCACCGTGCTTGGTGGTGGAGGGGAGCGGCAAAGCATAATGCTGCAAATGGCAAATTCACAGTAGTGTTCCAGCAGCACAGCGCTAGTTCCAGGCTACACCCGCCACCTGCATTTCTTCACGCCCACAGGCTCGCTGGGTTCAAGGCCCTGCGCCTGGCTCTGCAAAACCAGATGGCAGCTCCCTGGCTGCTGCCTCGCTCAGCCAGGAACTAAGCTGAAAAGCAGCCGTTCTTTTCAGCTCAGCAAATGCTAAGGCGATAAGCTACGCCTTTTGGAGCTCTCCCGGAGACCAGACTTGACTCACGCAAGCCTCTCGGGTCCTGTCCAGATCTTTCCTCCCCGCAGGCTGGGTCATGGACCTGTGTCTCAACTCCACGCAGCAGCCCCAGCACCTGGGGCAGGCACCAAAGTGCCCAGGTGGCTGGTTAGAGGCAGAAGAGGAGGGCGCTGCCCCAGAGGACGGCACCGGGGGACCCCCAGGAGGTAAACACTTCTTCATCACCCCAACAGCTTTTCTCAGTTGCTTTTTTGGTGATGACATTTTCAACTAAATTTCCGCAACAGGATTTTCCATTTCTTTTTCCTTTTCAATTTTTACTACAAGGAAGTATAGTACAGAAATGACTTTATGCAAGTGTAAATGATAGCAGTAAAAGCCATTTCTGGGTTCACATTATTTACTTATCGATTACCACTTGGTTTTATCCTGTATTGAAATCAGATAGTGCTATATTTTTGTAACAACAATTTTTTAAAAAGTGAAATCAAAATTTGATTCTGCTTTTTGCCAAAATGAATCACTGGCAGTCATAAATTGCAGTGTATTTTCCCACTAGGACAATGTAAGAGTTTAGGGTTACATTTCTGGGCATGGGCTCAATAGTGAATAAATGATAGACATAATAAATGATGTAATGGGGCATCTAACGGATTTGCAACTATTAAGGGGGTTAATGAGGATATTATTTATTTTTGCTAAATTGTTTATATAAAAATACAACTCTTTCTAAAAGCTGTTCTTTCTAAAATGATCAGATCACTGTAGATAAAATAAATGAAAATATTTAAAGTGCAATAAGCATATATTCTGTATCTTTGTAGCGCTGCAAAGGGTCTTATGAGAAAAATTTATATCAAAGTTTCTTAACCGGGCAAGTGTAACTGTGAAGCTCAACAGCTGTCGGGGCATTGATCTGTGGTGCACTGAGCTATCTGAGATCAGTTCGTTGATTTCCTACAATACAGAGAGAAAATAAGTCCCCAGGTGATCCCAGGGGCTGGGAAGAGGGCAGCCTGGGCTTGTGGGGTGGCAGGGGAGCCTGCCGGACCTGGCGAGGTCTCTGAGGATCTGGCTGCGCCTGTCCCCGCCCTGCCCCCCTCCTGCCACAGTGGTGTGTCCTGGAAATGGCTTGACCTAGCTCTGGAATTTCAGAAATTTTGGAGCTGGTTGTTAAATACGACCACATGAAAAATTAAATCCCATCTCAATAGATTAAAGAGAAAGTTCTATCTATATTTAAAGTCCAAAACAATAACTACTCTAAAATCTGTTCTAAAACTATCAGGCCAGCGTAGACTCCATAAGTAGAAATATCCCCTCTCACTAACTGCTATGTTCCACACTCACCTATGCACTGGGGTTATTTATGGCTGTTGCATCGGTATGGGGGAAACATGGCCCCGTGGTGCCCTACCCGTCATGTTGGGTCAGTGTCTTGAAATCAGCCATCACGAGGCATTTACACCAAGATACTTGTTGAGCCCTAGAAACCACTGCTTTCTCCCATCTCCTATGGAACAAAACAGACATATCAACTTAATAGTGTGTGAGTTTCTTACATGAGAAACTCAAAACATAAAAGAGCAAGATAAAAGACAGATCATAGGACACATTGGGAGAGATTTTTGCATGGGAAGGGGAATAAGAGACGGAGAATAGGATAAAAAGTGAGGGAGGAATTCTGTTACCTGTCCCAAGTCCTGGTGAGGAATAGGTCATGATGCAGTATAAACACGTACAAAAACAAAAAAAGAGAAAAGGAAGGGGTATATGAGGGAAGAGGAGCAGATTTTAAAAAGGTAAAAATATAATCAAGATGTATGACGTCCATGTACCAACTCTCCACAGTGAATATAATCATTACGTACTACAAACACTTCCTAAAACAATTCACCAACATGCCACTGCAGCCTTAGGGTGAAGTGAGGGCCTCCTTAGTCATCTGCACGTCTTGGGCTCATTTTGCTGGATGCTGGTGGCTTTCTCTATGAGCTCTGTCATGTCCTGAGTCTCTCCTTATCCTCTGACCTCCCTCCAACCCTGTAGTACGTGACAGTGAGGAAAATGTCCCTGATCCCAACTGGCTCCGTGAAACTCACCTTTCAGGCCAAGACAGAGATTTCTGAGTGATAAAACACAGGAAGCCAGAACCACAGGCAGGACCAACGCTCGGAAGTGCTACAGGCCTCCATGATGCTAATGTACAAATAGGTCACCCCTCTGCTCACAGGGGCCCAGGACCATTTTTAATGTGCTGCATACAGGTGCTTCTGTAAAATATAACACAAGTGAATCTCTAGAGAAAAAAAAATGAAAATAGAGACATACAGCATACAAGCTTGTTTTAAAAACTGGTTATTAATACATTTTCGTGTTATATAGTGACCACATTCGTGGTGGGGAGCTGGCACATGTCTGTGACACATCTCAATTCTTTTTACATCTCCTTCCCCTTATAGGCAACAGACACTGTCATATTGTTGTCAGTGTTTCTAAGAGCTCGCTCCAGATTTCTGTACTTATGCTCCAGTGAACCTGTTACAGCTGGTTTACAGGCAACCGCAGAGAGCTGCTATGGTGTGTACTGAAATTAGTGCTCTCTGAAAAGGCTCTAGAACCTGCTTTTGGGGGGCGGGGGGCTGCTGATGAGTTTTCTTACAAGGCCATTTCCCTCCTCCTGGTATCCACATCCTCTTCCTCTTTGCATGAGAGATAATGCTGGTTATTTCTGATTGGAACACTTTACAAGCTCACGGACTGCTCCACCCAGCTATTTATGCAAAGCTGAGATTCTGCTCCGGGTTAAAAGTCTTCCAGTCTTGTCTCAGGCAATGAAAGAAAGCAAGTTTCATGCAGTTTAGAGCCGGCCTCCCCGCTCTCTAACTCCTGCTACTCTCTTCCCACCGGTGGTACCCACGTATGCGTGGCCTCAGCATCCTCCTTCCTGACATTTTCCCACTGCTCTTTTTATCCTTAGACATTCTGGGAAGCCTGAGATAAACTGCAATTCCATGGTGTCAGCCTCATCAGCTGCTCTTTTCCTTGTTTTATTTGATATTTGAGCACCACTATGATGGGTCACGGGGTCAAAGGAGTATTTAAAGCCACAGTAATTTAATAGCCAGGGCTCAGCTGACAGTCTCCCAGGTCCTGTGCCTTTTGAGGGGCAGTTATGGGAAGGATTTAAGGAACATGCACCAGCCAGCATGTGGGGATATTACTTCATTTCAAGACCTAAAAATAGTTGGCCTAGCTCCTCCTTATCCGAAGGCTTGGCCCCTTGTACCATTTTGCTGGTCTTTAGCTTTCTCCTGCCATCAAGACATAAGGTAGGGATGGGTCCCTGTCTCTCGTGTCCTTGGAGAGATTAGGGGCTGCCTTGGTCAATCTACTTGTTATAAAAATTGTTGCAGCTCAAAGTCACACCTCCAACACCCCATGTAATTCAGTTTTGTGCTAACTCAGTCACTGATGTTGATGGAATCGCCCTTCTGGGTGGGCAAGGACTGTACAATCTACCTGCATCCTACCAGTAATACAAAGGCGTACGCACACTGGATCTGCAGCTCCTGAGACCCATCTGCTTTTTCTGTCTCACAGATCCTCAGGAGACGGAGTCATCCCTTCAGAGCCTCCTAAAGTTCGTCCCTACAGATTATGCCAGCTACACTCAGGAGCACTACCGGTTTGCAGGCAAGAGCATCGTCATGCAAGAGTCCATAGAGAGCTTCGGAGCGGTGGTGTGGCCGGGGGTGAGCGTGCCCTTCCACCTGCTGCATTCCGCGATCTGGGAACCAATGTGGCCTTGGGCAGCTGGTCAGGAGCTCCCCGTTTTGTCTTTCCCATCTCGAGGACTAATTATCTGGGCATAGAAGAAACAAGGATTAGTTTTAAGCTGTTTCTTGAAATATTTTTATGTTAAATACACTTGGATCCTTTTGGGGGCTGGGCTACAAAATACAGCTCCTACAGAGTGTCATCAACAATGCAGGGTGAGGCTCTGCAGTAAGCACTTCAGGCCACACCTGCCCTCATTCTTCCCACAGAGAGGTTCGGGAAGGACACATTTCAATTTCCAGGATACACTGCAGCGCTGGGTGCTGTCAGAGGGGAACCTGCCCCACCATTTGCACGTTTCCAAAGTGGAAACACTGGGTGGTGGCCGTGTCTCCTTCCTGATTTTCCCCACTGGACAGTGACGCGCTGCAGCTAACCCCCCTTAGCTGTGATTACTGATGTGAGGACCTGGACTGGGGCGAACTCCAAGGCTGAGGGAAGTTCCGCCCTGGGGTCTGGGGCCAGCACCTCTGCTCCCCACATGGCAGAGGCCTGGGTGCTCAGACAGGCTCTGGAGCAGGAGCTCCAGTCACTCTCAGGCCTCCTGAACACGCAGATTCTGACCCAGCCTGGAGTGCGTGTGCGTGTGCCTGTGGTGACTCTGCATTCCCCATGACTCCCCAGGAATGCCCAGCTGTTGGTGCAGACCTGAGCTGAATAGTCATGATGCAGGTTCCACCAAGCTCTCCAGGCCGTCCGTGCTGGAGAGTGGTGATTCCATTTCACATCTTAGGTACAAGTGTGATTTCCTTCCAAGGCTTTCTTCCTCCTTCACAACAAATCTGAAAATAATGAAAGATTTCCCAGTTTCCTTTTCCAAGCCATTGTACAGCGGTGGCCAGGGAGCCCAGGGGGTGGAGAGAGGACTGTGCACTGAATGTTCCAGGCTCAGAGGCCTCAGCTTTCACTTTTCTGAAAACCAGTCTTTCCTGGGACACCAGCTTCACAACAGCTTCCTGCCAAGTGCATGGTACTTTGTGAACTCCAGCGACAGCTCTCTGAAAAAGGCTGCTAACAGGGCTCAGGGGTGGGGCACTTGCAAAGAAAGCTCTTCCTAAGGAAAACTGTCCCCAGCTGATGGGACTAGGGCCAGCCCCTCCTGGAGGCTGGGACACCCTCAAAGGGAAGTCGCCAGCTGTTTCCACCGGGTCCCTGCAGAGACCAGCCTTTTAGCCACTTCCATCATTTGTAATACCTGAGCTGAGTTACCTGAAATTTTTGGAAACTGGTCAAATTTGACAAATCTGTTTTCCAATTCCTAACATGCAGCCTGCTCTCACTGTCCTATTCCAGAGGTCTGAATATGGCAACAAAGCCTTCAATCAGCTGAACATATTTAATGACAGCTTTTAGTGTTTAACTCTGGGTTGCGGGGGGCGCTACTGGTTTCTAATTTCAATGTGAAAATTATTATTTTTAGGCAACAGTTTTGTGTCAGTATTTGGAGGAACACACAGAGGAACTGAATCTCCAAGATGCTAAAGTACTTGAAATTGGTGCTGGACCAGGCCTTGTTTCCATTGTGGCCAGTATTTTGGGTCAGTTTGCTTTTTTTTTTTTTTCCTGATCTTGTTTGAAGACCTTTACAGTGACATCAAAGACAGCAAATGCTTAAAAACAGGGATAGGCTGTGGCACAGTTAGCTGGCTGGGATGTCACTCATTGTGTCTCCCTGTGTTCAGAGGTGACCATCACTACTGTTAGCAGCAGGGATAACTTTCAGTTTTGGGAAGTCTCCACATCACAAAGTTGAGAGCCCAGAGGCACAGCTCCAAATCCTGGTTAATCTTCAGTTGCGTAGGGTTAAGCTAGGGTGCTGATGATACCAACAGGGGAGAGACTGAGGAAGGTGCTAATATCTTACAGCGCCAAGGACAGGTGTGCCCATAAGAATCACCCAGCCTGAATCACGTCTAACGTGTGCAGCCCATTTGCTACCAGTGCCATGGTGAGACACCTGGTGGTTTGTCGCATTTCTCTCTAAGCATATGGACGCTGAACCTGCCCAAGTGTTTCCAGGTCATCATCACCATTTTTCTCTCTTAGGGGCTCAAGTCACAGCAACAGACCTGCCTGATGTACTAGGAAACCTTCAATACAACCTCCTAAAAAACACACTGAAATGTACAGCCCACCTGCCTGAAGTCAAAGAGCTGGTGTGGGGGGAAGACCTAGAAGAAAACTTCCCCAAGTCAACATTTTATTACAATTACGTCCTGGCCTCCGATGTGGTCTACCACCACTACTTCCTGGATAAGCTGCTCAGCACCATGGTGCACCTGTCCCAGCCAGGGACGGTGGTGCTGTGGGCAAACAAATTCAGGTTCAGCTCTGATTATGAGTTTTTGGATAAATTCAAGCAAGTTTTTGATACAACTCTCTTAGCCGAATATCCAGAGTCATCGGTCAAGCTTTTTAAGGGGATACTAAAATGGGACTGAATAAAATAACATGTGTTTCAAAATATTAGTGCGCCTGGAGGCTGTGAGCAGCTGCACTGGCAGTGGACTTCTTTCAGAAGAGGAGAAGGCAGCACATGGTGATACCTTGCAAAGCCAGAGCAAACAGTTAACAGCCCTGCAAGGACTTTCAGGAAGAAGACGATCAGCTTAATCTAAATGTCTACTGAGAATAACACAAAGCCATGAAAACAGCTTTGCTAACTTTCAAAATACATTTTACAGTGAAAAAGTGCATTTCTCCCTTGTTACTGCTGCTGCAGAACCTGGGATTTATGCCCAGTGCCTTTCTGCCATGTGGTTTTTGACCCCATCAAAGAGAGAAGGCATGAAGTGACACAAAAATTATAGATTTAATACTGACTAAAGGTGAAAAATACAGAAGCAGCTAGAATGAAAAAACAGTATCTTAGGAACTTACAAGAACTTGCAAATACTTTCTATCAATCACCTGTAACAACTGTAAATTTCCGGATCATCTGCCTTTTATGCAGTTTTATAATAAAATTCTTAGAGCACTGAAAAGGAATGAAATTTTTTCTGATAGGATATAAATTGAAAAAAATCAGTTATAAAATGAAGATTTTCCTTTGAGGTAGGGAAAAATTCTGCCGACAATCATTGTTCATTACTATTATACTAGTGATTTTAGCTAATGTGGTAAGGAAAACAAAACGTGCAAATTTGAAATGGAAGAAATAAAATTTACACTATTCAGGGATGACAGGATTGGCAGGCCAAGGTCAGCAAACCTTTTTCTGTATATGTTAGCCTATCAGCTACCCACTGTCTCTATACAGCATTCCTTGTTTAGTGGCTTTTAAAATCACTTCTAAAAAGGTAAGAACCATTCTTGGCTTGAAAACTAGACCACAGGTTGAATTAAGCCCTCAGCTATAGTTTGCTGGTCCCCGGAATTATATGCAATCTACAAGTTAAGTCTGCTGAGCAAAGCTCAATTTTCCTTGGAAGTTCTAACCACGAGTAGTTAGAAAATAAAATTTAAATAAGATTCCATTTATACTAGCAGTACAAAATACAAAAACATCTAAAAAAATTTATTACATTATTGAGCAAAATTAAAAATAGTCCAATAGGTAGAAAGCCAAGGCAGTAGGTTGGGATACATTCCAAAGACATTGATATTTTCCAAATTCATCAATGGATAATGTACATGTAATGGACTTGACAGCTGAACTGAGACTCAGAGATCCCTCAGTTAATGAATACTTTCATTTTCAAACAGTTTGGTTTGCAGATAGAAGCATTTGGCAAAATTTTTTCGTTTGCAAACTCTGTGTTGGGTAACACACACGACTGTGGCCATCTTCCCCACACAAACGCAATGTGGCCGTCTTTTTCCAGAATCGTGGAACAAATTAAGCTTGTGAAGCATGGCACCACTGCAGCAGCTGGTGTTAACTGCTAATATCAACACATACCGGTACTTTCCAAAGTGAACTTTAATGTCACCTATAAAAATCAGCAAATTTCTATACATTTAAGGGACAAATGAACATTTTGGTCATAAAGGGTTTAACTGGCTCCATTTTCTTAATTGCTATTGCCTATTAGGAATATGAGTCTCCAAGTATTTGATGACAGATATTTCCATCAAAGAAATAAAAAATAAAATAAAACCTGGCTGAGTCAACAGCCTTAATTTTCTTCTCTTAAGAGAAGGGAAGGAAAATGCCTCTTGCCTTGCAATTCCTTTAGATACAGAAAGGATGAAATCAGACTCTAGGGCAGAAGGAAAGTTGTGAGAACTGACAGGGCATCTTGCCTGTCCTGGAACTGTGTAGTAGGGGTGGACGTCTGTGTGATGATCCCTTTTGTCCCACCCGTTTTCACTTGCTGTTTCCTCTGTCAAGTGAGCAAGGGTGGGAAACGCAGGTCAGTGTAGAAGGCGCTGTTCTGCTATTATGAACTTCAGGAATTAGGTCGGCTGATGGTGCAGGACAGCCAAGGAAAGGCAGTGTTGGAAGAATAGTAAAAGAAAACAATAAGCTCTTTGTTGTCATCAGTTAGACAAATCTTAAATATGATACCAAAAGAACAGCTATAAATGAAAAAATTGTTGAATTGGACATTAACATTAAAACCTTTGCTCTTCAAGAGACTATTAAGAAACACATGAGCAGAAAATATTTGCAAGCAGACACACAAAAAAGGGCTCATGCACAAAATACAGGACTTCCACAATAACAGGACAGATGAGCCAACTGGGAAAGCAAAAGGCTGGAACATCACCACCGAAAAAACACAAATGCCCAATCATTATCAGGAAAATGCAAGTTACAGTATCTTGGGTAGTCAAACGTGGAAAGCTGGCAGGGTCACGCTGAGGAGGAGGCCCAAACCCTGCCAGGCTGGCACTCTGCTTCTGGGATGCAGGGCAGCACAGCCACTGGGTCTCTTACTAGCTAATGTACACTCACTAGGTTATGTTAAAAAGGAACATACCATTAAACAGCGATCTTGTCCCTAGTATCTTCCTAAAATAAATTAATACATCTATTATCAACTGGTAAATGGAAAAACAGAATGTGGTACATCATACAATGAGCTGTCACCAGCAGTAGAAAGAACCGAGACACCCTGGCATCGATGTGGTTACAGCTCAAGCACATCCCACTAATAAAAGCTCAGAGTCTGGAAAGTTCAAACCATAGTGACAGAAAGTAAGTCATGGCTGGTTTAAGGCTGGGAACAGGCCTGGAGACTGACTAGAAACGGGCATGACAGAATTCTTCCAGTGACGGGAAATGTTCTAACACTGGACTGTGTCGAAGGTTAAAATTTCTCCCCGTTTTTTAAGGAAATGGGGCCTTATCCCCTAAATGTTTTCCTCGACTTGCAAATGTATTCCTTTCACATTCCAGAACAAGGACTATGATACAAGCTTATAAACAGATAAGTCTTTTTAGAAAAGGTAGATTGGCTGCAGTTATCTTTTTACTGCAGAAAAAGTTACATGTGAAGAGCAGATAAACTGTGTGCATCACGTTTGTGGCTTATTAGGTGGCTATTGCAGCCAGGCACTGTTAGCACGTGAACAGAACAGTGTTGTCACCGCTCATCCCCACATGGAATTTTAACTCAGGGAAAATCTTTTCTCCTCCAGTCCTCTACCCGCCTCTCTGCTCTCCTATTGAAGTAAATACCAGCACAGATTACTTTCTTTCTTTCTTTCTTTCTTTTTTTTTTTTTTTGTCTTTTTCCTTTTTATCGGTACCGGGGATCTAACTCACGCCTGCCTGCTTGCAAGGCAGGCGCTTACACTGCTGAGCTAAATCCCCAGCCCCCAAACATGATTTTCTAAGTTCTGTTTGTATTTAAGTCATATAATTGTTACCATATCCAATATATATGTATCTCTAGTGTTCAAATTTATTCAAAATATGGTATTTTTAGTTGAGGAGTAAGGATCCAAGTAAGGTTCCTATTCCTCCCTCTTATTTTTTGCAGATTTCCCTCCATTTATTCCCCATACTGTTCTGTCTGTAAACGTTCTGAGCATTTAATGTCTCAGAGACCAACCATAGCTCAGCTTAGCAGCTGCCCCACCAGGTGACACTGGTGAACATAACTGCTAGGAGTTGCCAGGGTTTGAGGGAGCTTGTACACAGCAGAGAGGTACACACTAACTCGAGCACCTGCACAATAAAGGGGATTACAGAAGGGATTTCCAGGTGCTGTGTGCTCCGCCCAGGGATAAGAGCTGGCACGGTCCGACTCAGGTGAATTTGGTGTGGAGGGCTGGGAATGCCGACATCTCGGCCGCAGAGCTAACGCATCACTGATACTACAAGTGTGGGCATGGCCTTGCTGACTAAGATCCACTCCCCAGACTACAGCAGGGTATTTGCCAGTTGACCAGGCTCTGCAGTGTGTTCTACTCAGGACCCCTCTGGTCAGGCGGCACTTGTGCCCTGCCCATTTCTTCTGAGTTTCTAGGAACCCACTTACTAGGTCTGTTTCTTTTTTCAGCTTACTATTACTACTGACAATGGTTTATAATGTTCACTCACAGTTGAGTTTATATTTTCTCACGCCTCAAAAATAACTCGAGAGATTTGCTCTGGGTGTGGGTGGATGGTGATGAAAGGGATCCTTCTTACTCATCTCCCTACATGCAGGCTTCTTACATATATTCTACAGGCAAAAAGGAAAATGTATGTATTAATACTAGCTCAGTAAGAGATCTAGATGAAACTGCATAGTGAAAAGCTCAGTGTTAATTCAAATGAAAAATGTGTGAGCAGATATACTAAACCCACATCCCCATGGGAAACGTAGCAGTTAAAACATTGGGTTTGGCAGTGTCTGGGCCAGGGGTTTTGGGAAGCCTGAGGAGTCTTGGAGACTTGTGGTAAGGAGAGACCCAGCTGGGATCTTCAGGGCAAAAGAGCCAATAATTCTAGAGAAGAGGCAAGGAGAAATCTGTGATAGCGAAACTCCCACAGTGACGACCAGACAGGGAGTCACTGAATTAGTGTGGGGCACAGGCTCTAGCTCTAGTGGTTCTTGCAAAAGTTATCCATACCCTACTCTCAGTTGTTTGCAGTGGGTGTCATTTTGACCAGGAACAGACTTTGTAAAGCATGGCTCCACATGGCAGCCCCTGGTCACAGGATCCACAAACAACCTGGCACGGCTGCTCCAGCAAAACTTCCCGGACACAGAGAGTAGCCCAGTTCTGGCCTGGGGCCACAGTCTTTTGATCCCTGACCCAGGCAGTATGTCCTTGTTAGGAATGTAAAACTCGGTTGTAGAACAGGTTCTGACATTCACAATCCATCAATCAGCAGCAGGACCTCAGGGAGTCACCCTCCTCTCTTTGAGCTTCTCAGTAACCCTTCTGGGCTCACCCCGTGTACGGGAATATGTAAGAGCATGCGGGTAAAACTACATGAGAGAGCATGTGTTGTCTGTTCACGGACTTCAGACCCCAGACGCTGCCCACAGTGTGTGCCGAAAGTTTCTATGCATATTTGTGCTTTTGCATAAAGGCTCTACTGCTTTCTACAGATAAAACTATTCCTGAATGGCTAAAGTGAACTTCTAGATACTTTATATACAAGTAAACACTAAGGGAATAAGATAAAAACTGTACACAAACACAATTTGCTACTAGACAAGTGGTTACAGGCTTTTTAATATTATCTCTTTCTATTTCATGGAGGCAGAATGAGAAGCAGGAATAGTAACCAGGAAGATAAAACGATAAGAAGTTAAACATACACAAAAGCTAATCACACAACAAGAACTGGAAATACATTCCACTAATTGGAAGCCTACAAGAAACATTATAAAATCAATTACCTGCTTAATTTTTTGCTAAGGACTCAATATACTATTTCTGTTGTGACCCCAAATTTGATTTATGAAAAATTAAGACCAACTTTAAGAGGCTTCAATATTCACTTTTATTATTTATATAAAAAAATTAAGGTACCAGAGTGCATATGGTGTACTGTGACCTTGGTTTGCACATTGATTTGTTGTGTTTTACATGATTCCACTTGTAATAAACATACCATGAATGTACCTTTACAATTCCTGCTACAGATTCAGCCGTCTGGCACTTACACATGTACTGTTAATTTGTTCTGATGCTGTGCACTTCAGAAAGATGAAAAATGACCTGCGTATTACAGACCCATGATGAAAATTTACCGAAACAGTTCTGTTCCAGCAACTGCCACACACTTGTACCAGTTTTATTTTTCTCTTTAATTGAATGTAAACATTTGTAAAAACAAAAACAAAATCAAAAAAATCTGGAAATCAAGTTCATATTTAGTCCAATAAATAACTTTAGCTACTTTTAATGTAGCTTTTTAAGGCCTTCATACAATTGAGGAAAATCAAAGTTGAGCATGTTAAAACCCTGTTCATTTATAAAATAAAAAATAGAATTTTACAGCTTTGCAATTCAAAGTTACTGCTGAAAACCTATCACGCATGCAGGAAGCTGCAACCTAACTGAAAATGCCTCCTGCCTGCAGGAGGGCTTGGCCCTTCCTCACCAGGCAGCAGAGGCATTAGGAAAACACCAGTAAGTCAGAGGTTTAGATTTACATGGATTAAGCCACACGCCAGTGAATTGTCTGATAAATACACATCATTTTAATGATCAGCATTTGATAGTGGATGAAAACATGCATTAGTCTGAAAATGCCACAAATTTGTTCTTATATCCATTTGCTAGAAAACTTTCTCTTTTAAAATGTAGTCTTGGTTTTTATTTTAGAATACGCAATAGTCAGGAGGATACATGATGGGGAGCCAGTTTTCAGTAAAAGATGCACAATGCGTCCATCCAAGTAATTTCATCAGCTACAATAAAACACAATCAATAGATTAGTAAAGGAGATGATAGATTTCCAACCTCAACACTCACGGTGAACTCCCTATCCAAGATTTAGCAGTAACAAAGCAGCAGCACATGGAAGCTTCCTTCCTTCCTTCCATCTCCCAGCCATCAAGTCTCTTCCCAGCAACAGCCTGATCACCTACTAGCGATTGGCCAAGCTTCCTACCCACCAGCTGGCCCCTGGGCTGCCTTCTCTATGGCTTTGCCTGTCCCCTGCTTACTAACCTTACGTCACCTTTCCTTCCTCCTAGCTTACCTGCTCTCTCCTTTCCTACAGTCCTACATTCTCAAACACCATTGTATGTAGGCACTGGGAAAACAGTACCTAGCAAGTACACTTCTTACTTTCAGGAAACTTACGTTCTCTTCAAGAACAAGAAATAAATTACTGAATGGATGAAAAAATGTATAATGAAGGCATTTATCAGGCATACAATAAAAACAAAACGATGCAGTACAGGGAGTCACCGGGATGGGCCCGGCAGAAGCAGGGTGGAGGCCACGTGCGGTGCGACACAGTGGGAGAAGGGGATGGAGATCTTATGGGTGACCAGGAGGAGTCTGGACTCATTTGAAAGTGACAGATATTCCCAGCTTCTGGCTGCAGAGGGAACTGACAGAAGAGGGCAGCGCAGAGGGGAGACAAAGTTCCCACAGGGCCACCATGGCATCTTGTAGGGTTACAGGTTTCACATTCACCTTCCAAGTCCCCACATATGACAATAGGAAGAGTTCCTCAGCCCGGCTCTATTAGAACCCTGACAGATCTCGGTTTGTGTACTTCGGATCACAAAGTGAATTCTTTCCATATTTCTGGTCGCAAACTGAATAGCTGAGAACCGAATCAAATTCAATGGTTAGGTTCAAGGTTGACCTTATGGGGAATTTGATTCGGTTCTCACCTGATTCAGCCTCTGGCCAGAAGGGAGAAAGAATTCAGTTTGTGAACGGAGGCACCATTGTATACACAACCTGCTTTACAATTTGGGCGGATGGGTGAAGACACAGAGAAAGTCTTACGAGTAAAGAGACCAACAGCTCATTCTTTCAAGTATTTTCAGAGAAACCTATAGTTTTATATCCACATGCCCTAGTCTATGACTACACAACACGCAAGATTAATTTCTATACAAGTTATTGTACTTGAATTTAACTCATGTAGAAAGTGTGACTACAGAATTTCTCTGCATATGTGATAGATGGTAAAATAATTAACAAAAATGTCCTAACATCATAAATGAATAAAATTAAACTGGGTAAGTTCAACCAGTTTAGAACTGAGGTAACATGTATTTATCTGGGTTTTTGTTTTCTGTCTTCTTCTTCGAGGCAGGGTTTTACTGTATGGTTCAGGCTGGCAATGAACTCACTTTGTAGCCAGGCTGGCCTCGAACCTGAGGCAATTCTCCTGCTTCAGCCTTTCAAGTGCTGGGATTACAGGCGTGTACTACCACGCCCAGCTAGTAACATGTATTTATTTATTTATTTTGATAACGGAGATGGAACTTGCGACCCCACACTTGCCAGGAAGGCACTTCTGCTGCTGAGCTAAATTCCTGGCCCTTTGTAACATGTATTTAAAAAGAGTATTTCCTTTACAAAGAAAAATTTTGGCTTCTCATTATATAAAATAAATAATGTATTTTGCCTTTGCTAAAAACAATGGAGGCTAATCTAGGTTTTTGGAACAGGAGTGAAAAATGTCTTAAATTTAAATGGCTAACTGATGTCCTCTCATGGGCTTGTTTTATAATTC